GCTGAGGTTTTGAAAAGTCAGCGCCAGTAAAGTGAACAAAAAGAAAAAAGGAGCGGCAGCAGGAAGTAGCAGAAAGGAATCGAGTGACTGACTGAAGTTTTTATTTCGTTATAAACATTGTTTATTATTTATAATTTACTAATTTAGTTGTTTTACACATACTCTGGAAGTTTACTACATTATTGATATATAATTTTTTTATTCATTTTCACTTTTTTGGCAATATTTGTAAATATTCCTTTAGTTATTTTAAGGCAAAGTTCAACAGACAGGTAGATAACAAAACATCAACCAAAGTTATGAAGATTATGATTTTTCTTTCTTTCTATACTGGAGCAGCCGTGGAACTGAGGGCTCTTTTTTGTGTCCAAATCTATTTTGTCTTTTGTCTCCTCAACCTTCCCATGGTAAATGTCAGTGGTTTAACATCAGCTGCAGGCTTATAAATGTCCTGCTGTTACACTTAATACTTTGCTATACTCCAGAACACACTGTATTTCCTATTTTAAGTTTTTCCCACCACTGTGGTGAGTTATTCAGGAATAAAAAAAATGTGTATGCTACTGTAGCTTCCCAGAGAGGGAATTCTGAGAAAAATGTCATTTTCGTAAAGGTCAAAGACCCTTGGCATCGATGCAGTTTGAGTATGGGCTAAATGAGTAAACTGTCACCTGCTCTTTAATCGAACCATGATAGTGTTCACCGGAAGGCTAGCTTTAGCTCTTTAGCTCGCTCCAAATCCAAGCAGATTTGACTAAAAAATGTCCACAGGGTAACATTCTGACAGAATGATGTATAGAATCGAATAGATTTGACTGCGACAGACTGCAACACACACAAGCACACACACACAAGCACACAGTGCACATGCAATCGATAACCTGACACGGCAGCGTTTGTCATTTTTATCTACACATTGCTGACAGAGGAGAAGCAGCTTAGCACAAATTGACACTTTGAGATGACACAGTTGAAACATGCGACACAGCGTGCTGCCGCAAATTAATCCTTTCCCCGCACACGTGGTAGCACAACCCTAAAGTCCTTTTTTTGAACTCTTTCTAAAATCAAAGAAATCCAAAAGCCGGAGCAAAATATAAAAATGACACAGGGGAAATACTCAGTTTTTCAGTTTGTATTTTTTCGCCTCTTTGACGAGCAATTAAAAAATGAAATAAAAATGTATTACCCATTTCCAAGGAAGGTTCGTAAAAAATATTTGACTGTGAGAGGAAAAGATCCAGCACGAGGGCCGCATAATTAAAACCCCAAGTATGAGTATTAGTGTGTTTTATTTACTTTTATAAGCATCAAAGTAATAAAAGATTACTGTGTGCACAATGGTTTATAACGCAGCGTTATTTGTGAGGAATAAAGAGGCTTTGTTAGGAATAAAAACAAACGGCTGCAGTTTTAGTGACTGTGAGCTTGTTAATGGAGAGCTGAGCGATGACTGTCACGCAGTCTGAGTGTGTGATTCGTCGGGTTTATGTGTAAGTAGAAAAACTTTGTGTTCTCTTACTCACTGTTGGTCTCCATGCTCTCACACAGTTCCGTTTTCACCTCTCCATTGGGACGATCTCCGCCTTTCTGAGTCAGTTTTCCAGACATGGTGGCAGCTGTCACAATAGCCTGTGTGGTCACGATGAGAGATGTGTGCTGATTCACAACCTGATATGAATCATCAGCATATACGTGTATGGTTTTTTTTCCACTTAGTTTAAAGGAAATGATCAATACACACTGAAATTAATGACTGTAACACTTAAAGCACCGGAAAAATACATTAGTCATCCATATGGAGTCAAACAGGATTTCATACAAATTACATAAAAACTACTTAATTCACTCAACATCCAGTTACACTTTTAATTTATTTTCAGTCTAAACTGATTCATAATCATTTTTGTGATTCTTTGTTCAATTTGTCAAGGATGTTTTCTAAATGTCAGGTTATTTTTAAAGTAAAGATTATAGTGGCTGATCACACACGGGGAGCCGTGGATTAATCATGATTAATTGTGATCAATCGAGAGAAATCAACACCGTTCTTCAGTACATGAACTCAAAAACTGCTACTAGTGCCAAATTCATGACCAAATTCCCACAATGCTTAGCAGGCTGAACTTGGTAGGGTCAGTATGGAATGAATTTACCAAACAGAACTTATTGTTTTGTTCTTGCTAATTTCCGGAAAGAATTTTTTTCTCAGCTCCTCAGGTGTTCTTACGATGAACAAAATTCCGGCTGTTAAAGGATAGTACAGTACATCTTCAAAATACCAAATATAGGTAACAAATGACCCATGGACTGCTACTGGTTCACAAACCAGTGTTTGGACACCACTGCGATAGAATGATCATAACAAATGTCTTTCTGTAATTCATCGCCTCTTCAATAAAGACTGGTTATATAATCTATATTATAAAGAAAGAAGTAATATAATGCAAAACATTAAACTAATCTTGTTTCGTAAAGTTTAAAATATTACACAGGATTAGATCCATTCTTACCTTGAAACTCCGTTTACGCTTGGGTACGTTCTGATCCGGGCGGAAGAGGATGATGTACACCTTGGGCATGTAGAGCATCCCCAGGGACACGGAGGCCGACAGGCTGAGGGAGATAGTCAGTGTGGTGGTTTGGATGTACATCTGTAGTCACAGACAAGGAGGAAGAGAGACAGACACACGCATCAGTGGGAGCCATTTATCACACTTCTAGTTGTCAGATCTGCTGGACTCACTGATGAGGACGAGGAGGGGGGTAGAAGGGAGTAGGGGTACGTCCAACATTGGTGAACGGTCAGAAAAATGACAGTCGAATAACATGTCAAAACAAAAACTGGCAAAGAACACGCTGAGTAACAGTCTATGTTCTAAAAAAAAAATTAAAGTCATGTTTTTAGCTTCTTTTGGAATACAAAATATCTAAAGAAACTTTTAAAAACAAGTTACTTAACACTTTTCAAAGATGATAAAATATATTTTGCATGTATATATTTATACATATATACTGTATGTATATATATCAGAAATAGATGGAAACAATAAAACAACTTGTAAATAATTAAATTTGCTTTTTTAAATTCAAGAATTTTTATTTTTTAATTTAGTTTAGCTTAGTTTGACCATTGAATAGATTATTTATTGCAACTGTTGAACCACCGGTTGCATCTTGGCTCATACACAACCTCTTCATTTAGTATTTATTATAGTTTTAATGATGTTTTCATAATATCTGGGAATCTATACTTTGATTTTCAGGCGAACATTTTCTTTCCTCCTATTGAGTTTGGTGCCGACTGTTGTTTCTGAACAGACAAAAACAAAAACATTCTACCCTGCAGCAAACGCATCGATATGAAAAATTTGAAGGTGTAATGTTGCTTCAGGGAAGGAAAGATGTAAGTTTTTAATATCCTCCTTAGTACAAAGCCAATTGTAGACTAATGCATCTAAATAATGTACTTAAGTCTGAAAAAAAGTTGGCGGTGTTGTAAAAAGAGTGGATAAGGTAGATATTGGAAGTTGGGAAACTTTATTTTTAAAGTTTAAAAAAATATTGGTAAAATTTAGTTTCCCCAGAAAACTACGGTTTGACACCACATAATAAAACAGATTGACAGATTTAAATTTAGACGTAAGAATGACGTTTGGACACTCAGCAGACAGCCGGCGTCCTTGTTAGTCCACCTGCGTCGTATCTACCTATAACAACTATATTAAAACGCACCGATTCCGCCTAAATAAATGAGGAAATGTCGCCGGTAAAGAAACGTTGGTAGCATAGAATCGCTGCGGTGGACGACACTATAGATACCTTGTCCTCAGTGACGAGTTCGGAGGAGGACAGATGTAATGACAGGCTTCACCCGCAGCCCTGACACCGCTGACAAGTTCCCAATATGGCGGGCTTATCACACGGAAACTGTTGTCGAAGTAAGGATAGGAAAGAGGGAGTGAGTGAGGAGGAAGAGGGTGAAGGTGGACAGGACGAAGGGAGAGGAAACAAATAAAGAACACATTTCCTTACTATTTGGACAGGTTCGGGTAAACGGGGGTGCAAATGCGTCGCGACAGTGATGAAGAGACACAGGCCAACTCCACATTGTCACAAAGTGCTGACGCGCTAATTGAGGCAGCGAGGCTAAGTGCAGCCTGACAGGCAGACAACAGGGCACAGAGACCGTTCACCTGCTCATGTTTGATTCTCCTGTGAACGAGAGCAGCGTCTGTGCTGAGACAATGTTGTCTCTGTGACACGTAACATGAGAAAGTAAGAAAGAAAGGGGAAAAAAAGCCCTCGTATCCATTTTTGGTTTACATTAAATGTCGCTTTACTATAATGTAGACTGGTAAAACTGGACGAAAGCTATGCTAATCTGGACCGGCTTTATCGACTATGCCACACAATGGTTCAAAATATGAATATATCTTTGTGTTTTTGTTTTGTTAAAAGAAAATTCGAAGAGTACTATAGTCACAATTCATATTAAATGATCGAATATGAATTGTGACTATAGTGCTCTTTGAATTTTCTTTTAATTAAACAAAAACATAAATATTGCACAAAGCAGCTTGAGCAATTTAGCATGTTATATATCACCAGAGTAATTGTAGACAGCGCAACTAAGATAAAAAATTAAAATATTGTAAATGAGGATGGAGATGAAAAACAATGTAACAATTACTATTCAATTATCAATATCACTTATGGACCTGTTTCCTCATCAATAACCTTTTTGTCTTATTATTAAAAGATGGTTTAGTCCTTGTTTACCTCGATCAATCTGATTACTCCATTGCTCAAACTTCAGGATAATATTTATATTTAATCACTTTTGAGAACTGTTACTTCCCCAGTCTTCATACTTTTATGCAGCTCAGATTGTAATTCTGCTTATGTTTTTTTAAAGGACCCAAACACCCACTCTTTCTAGACTATTTCTGGTTCCATTCTCCTATCTTTTATTTACAGATATGTAGGATAGTATACAACACACACATGCCTTAAGGTGTGAGATGTTCTCATTGACAGTAGCCAGAGGCAAGAGAGAGCAAACTGGGGGCCGAGGGACAAACATAAATGTCTCAGTTTGTGCCAAATCTGAGTGACGGTAAATAAACAAGGCTGCTTTTGAAGGTGAAGCTTAGACTTACCGTAAGTTCACCTTAAACATACATTAAACCTCATGGAGCTTTATCACATTTTTCTTTTCAAACTAGAAGTATACAATTGTATGCATGTACACTGCACGCTGCTGGTTGTTTATCTTCCTTCGTCTGTGAATGATTGACACATCATTTACAAATAGAATTGGGGATTATGTCGGCTAACAGATTTACAATAAGATTTTAATTTTTCATTGCAGTTCTTCCCAGCACCAGTTCATGTTGGCACTGAAGCAGTGTTGAGTCAACAGTGCTTTGTATTTAATATAAAATTCTTCAAACTGACTTTCAGCTAAACAGAAAGTGAGCAGAGCTTTTACTCTGAGACAGAGAAAAGGAGAAGATGACTATAGATGTAGAAATAAAGGTGAAAAAGTCATAACCGGAGGAAAGAAGGAAGGAAGGAAGAGAGAAGGTAAAGAGAATTTCCCCGAGCTGTGAACCTGCTCTTATCTAGAGAGCAGATAGCCGCTCCCATTACATGTAGCCTTTGGTCCACCATAGCAGTGACCACTGTTATTTACACAAAGAAGCCAACACACACACACACACACAGACGATCACATACATACAAACACACAGATCACTCTCCTCCTCCTCCTCCTCACATTGGTTTCACATGATAAAAGCTCAAAAAGTGCACATTGGGGAAAAAAAAGAAAAAAAGCCAGCCATTAACCCCGAAGTCACAGTCAGAGAGAAGGTGATGGGCTACGGATGGCTGCATACAAAGTGTTCCCTCAAGGTTTGAAACATTTACAGATAGAGTGACGGAGGCTCTGGTCCGTGATATAATGTGACGAACAGAGAGAAAAATGATGCTTTTAACATCTGGAAAGACAAAAAGGGAGACAGAAAAAAAGATTTCTGGACAGATTCTTGACTTTTCTGCTCCTCATCATCATCATTGTCCTGAGGTGAAAAGAAACAAACCCTGTCTGCTCGTGATACTGTAGTAGTTGAATTAGCAGCTGCGTTCTGATAGCGTGAGTCTTTATAGTATCATTTCCATGGGACTCGTTTTGTTTTTGTGTTCATTAGGAAAGCGCTGATGGGAGGCTTTTCTTCCACTGAGGAGCTTGTTATTTTCCGATTAATGCTTAAAGGATGGGCCCACCGTTGTCAGAGCACACACCTTTTAACGGCACTGATTACAACTATTTATAATCACAGATACCAGCAGACCTTCACATGTGGCTTCATTACATTTTTCCCCCAGCCAGCTTCTGTGAAATAAAATTCAAATATTTGTCTATCTGCACAAAGAAAGAATTGTTTTGCTGAACATTAGCCAAAAAAAAAAATCCTATCGTGAGTAGGTTTGAAAGGAGCATCAACCAAATAGCTCAGCCCTCTGTGCATTTATATCATGAAACTGAGTGAAGGCCTTTTACTCAGACATTACCAATCACTGTCAGATTATTGTTGAATTCTATTTATCAATAATGTAATGAAAGCCAATAGCTGGTCTGAAAATGGAGTTAAGTGTCCACGCACTGATAAGACAGCTTTTACTCTCTTTTTTACCCCTGACGTCTTGTGCTGCTGCAGAGATGCATTAGCATACAAGCTACAGTAACAACAGCTAACCTGGCTAATATGAAATGTCTGGATATTTTAATCACACTGCAGGACAATGACACTGTTACAGTTTGAAATTCATATTGAGACTTTAATTTAATAAATATTTGGAAATAAATCCATCGCAGTTAAGCTGTACTGAGTGACTACGAAGCAGCACTAGCTGCAGCTAGCACCAAGGCTAAAAACCTCAGTGCTAGCTGCTGTTGCTTTGACTTTAAGTGTAGAAGTTTCTCTTCAACATGAGGTTGAAATGTGACAAAAGTTTGGCAGAAACAGTGAGATATTATCATGGTATCATAATATTATTGTAATATTGGTACTTCTTATAATTGGCATTCTTTACTGATTGGCCGACAGCCCTATTTTATCAGCTAATAAAACTGTGGGATTAATGAGAAAGAGAAGTTGAGAAGACCTTAAACGTACTGTGGGATTAATGAGAAAGAGAAGTTAGACCTTAAACGCTACGACTAAGTGTGGTACAGTGGTACAAGGATTTATCTTAAATTAGATAATGATTAGCAAATTAAACTAGAGAGTTTTCAAGGTAATCAAGATGCTCTGGTCTAATAATGGCCCACTTGTCAATTGGCTATCTCAGCTCCAGCTCCCTTTTGACCCTCAATGACATAAGTTGTTAAAGATTTATGGATAAATATAGTCTCACAGACAGTCCTTCTATAAAAGAGAGGTCAATCTTTTTTTTCCCCCCTCGATCATCATCATCTTAAACAGCGACTATGGGAGACTTTGACTTTGGACAAACTGACAGCTCAGACTCTACGCTGAGGTGAGGGCCATCGGTTCGGGGTAAGACAGAAGAGGCAAAGATAAGCTGAGCTGGTTCACTTGTTCACTTGTCCTAAGGTGTCAAGTGTAGTGCAAGCTCAACAGAT